GGTGGGTTTTTTTTAAACCATTCTCCCAAGATAACCACAAAGGATGGCAAAATAGATGGTCAAGTTGTATCAGTAATTACATAGACACGATCACGTCACCGAGTTCATAAAACTCCACCTTGACTTGCACAACAACCACTTTACCCAGCGTTTTTATCTCCAAGCTACACCAATCTCAAGTCACCATGTTTACCGTGTGTCATGTTTTCTGCACACTTAAACATTACCATAATCAGATTTGTTTAATGTTAAGGTGCATACACTAGGCAATCCCCAACCCCTTAGGATTCAAGATAACTGAGCCTTCACATAGGGTTAACCTAGACTGTGGCAAGGTAAGGTAAAAGGTACAAACAACGAGCCTACCTTTACCCTACCTATTACCTTACCACAATACAATCTACCCTTTTACTCTTTAGCAAGGTAAGGTAAAAGTTCAAAAGCAACGAGACTACCATTACCCTACATTTTACCCTATCCAAATTACCCGATTACAGGGTAATTACTGGGGTACTACACATGAAAAAGGTTTTGACGCCGACGTCCCGACCTCGCTGCCCGGGGCGAGCACGTTGTGTTGCTTCTTGAGGTGGGCTTTCCACCCCGTCGCGAGGAAAACCACTTGCACAGCAGTGCACGCACTGCCGCTTCCCTTGCTGCACATGGGGATCACCCTGCATCCAATCGTCCGTGTTCTCCCACGGGAACGCATGCCGCTGCCTCTTGATTGCTGTTCGCAGCGACCCCGAAAATGCCGTTGCTGGCATCCTCGACCTCGTCCTCTACCTCAAGAACGTGGTCCGTCTCCAAACTGGTCCGACATCAAAGGATTCAAATTCTAAATGGAGGCCACGGGCGACGCCACGGAGCTATTAGCGAGCGGTTAACGATATTTACCGGGTAATACTTCACGCTACCTTTACCCTACCAGGTAATTCTTCAGCGCTACCTTTACCCTACCCTTTACCTTACCTCTTGGCGTGGTCGACACCTTTATCCTTTTACCCGGTAAAAAGGGTAACTTACCTTGCCGAGGCCTATGTTAACCCGTAACCCTACGCCCACGTACTCTTCCAGGTATAGTTCAAAGCCGAGTCTACAAATACGCACACTCACAACCGCCATGAGCCACCAAGTAACGGGACATCACCGCTCTTTTCTAAGCCTCGTTGCACTTTGAGGCCATGCAAAGTGTCAGGCCCAACTGGCAGGCGGTCGTGGAACGGCAACCCCAATGTGATGAGTTAATCCACTCAGGATTAGATGCACCACTTGCGCTCACCACGCTACCACCACCTTGCCGTTGCTTTAGCCACCCAAGGCTTCACATACGAATATTTTGGGACAGCTGATGACACAAGTCGCTCCAAGTTCCGCTTTTTCACTCAGAAAAGCCTTGGGGCTCTTTACCAGGCGGGCCCTGCAAGGGTTTTGCAGTAGAGGGCGATGGTTGTTATGCAACATCCTAATTGAGTAATTTTGCGTGTAATTTAAATTTGGCCCCGATGCTATTCTTGCAAATGCATCACGAGGCGCTCGTAGGGGGTTTCCTGCCGTCGGGAGGCAGATTGTGGGAACGGCAGCCTCGTGTTTTTTTAAAGGTGCCCGAGTAATCCACCACAACAATGCAGTCGAGCGATTAAATGGAATGATCTCGCTATAAAATATCTCGTGCCATCTACTTGTAACCAGTAGGCGGCGATGATCACGCTGCAAATTGCGGCCATCAAATGTTGAATTCAGGACTCCATACTGCTGCCTGTCCTATCTGTGTAATTCCCCACCCCTCTTTCTCGCAGGATCTCACCCGTGTAGCATTCCCTTCTCCGATGGGGTAGTGACTGGGCACAACTATAAACAACACAGCGTTGGTGTACGGTGCTTTTTCTGAAATATTTTGCTGTCTTTTCTTGGATTTTCTGTTTACACATAGCCACTTTAAGATGTTTTCATGTTCATGTTTTTTTGTTTGTTGCGGTTGCACCCGATTCAAGAGCCGAATGGCTCACAGGACTACACCAAATGAAACTGAAAACGAGGAATCCATTGATGGAGGACACTGCAATCCAATGCCGAGGATATCGGCTTCCCATTGGTCGATATTAGTTTTGTCCACAGCCAGACGGATGAGGGGGGAGGCGTGGCCAGGGCAACCGCCAACCAATCACAAAGCGCCGTCCTGGGGATATTTGCATGTGGCCCACCCCTATATAACCCCCATTCCCCCTCCCCCAGACGAGCACCTTCAAACTGCACGTGCTCATCAGTAGCGTCACGTATAAAGATAAAATAAAAAATTAAATACTATCTTTATACGTGACTTTACCGAAATAACCAAAGAGTAATTCCTGCAGTCACGAAAGCTCCAAATTAAGTTTCTCATCAGTAGCGCTTGCTCAGTCCCAGCACAAACACGACGCTGGGCTTGGTTATGTTCGACACTTAGATAATGGTAATCGGCCATGGCCAATCCACTGCTGGATGAAAGCCTGCTTAAACTGCCACCGTTTATAGCATGCGATTGTAGTAAATCACCCTTGCGCATTAACTCATTTCATGGCCACATCTCCTTACTGCAACCTACTCCTTGCCATTCCCGTCTTTATTATTGATCGTCGTACATGAATCAGCCCTTGTGTTCGGTTTGTGCATTGCAGTGAACTGCGTAGTTTTGGTCAGACCCATCGATGACTGTGAGAAGCGTGTCCGGGTTTGGTCTGCAGTGAAAAATGTTGTCCGACCAATATTTGAAAGCCGTCCGCATGGCGCCACACCCCACGCACTCGCACGGACCCGCACGGAGACGTCCAGGATGGTCAAACAACGCCGGGACGTCTTTATCCAGCAGTGCATTGACACAGGGGCGTACGTGAAATAAGTAATATTAAAAATATATATATATAAAAACACGCTTTAATTAAATGTACCAATAATGGCAGAACTCCACGACTCCAGGAAGTGGCCCGAAGCTTGCCATAACGTAAGGGGTCGTCGGTAATTAGACCCAAGCCGAAACAAACATAAAAATTGTTTTAAATATATATTTTATGATAGAATATGGTATTGTCATCATTATAACATAAGTATACCAAGTTTGCAGTCGATACCACATTGGGGAGTGGGTTAAAATTGAGTTACAAGATTTAAAGATACAACAGAGTGAGTTAAATGAAAGCGTGAAAACTAAATCCGGCTAAGAATTGTACCGAGTTCATGGGCCTCGTGTCTATCTCCGTGGTGAGCTGCGAGGCTTTGGCACGAACTAAGAATGTTTGCCGGTTGTTGAGATGCCACGTGTGCTAACTTCTTTCGCACCGTACGTAGCCAACGGCGCTAAGCGGAGGTGCGGGCGAGGCACAAACTAAAACACAAAATGCAGTTCTGACAAAAATTGAGTCTGTCAATCTAGACGACGGCGATGATGATTTAAAAGTGCGCAGCTGCAGTGCGCTTCCTAAGGTCGGGAGGGAGGGAAGAGCGTTCCAGACGGCCGCAGAAGCGCCGCGCGATGTGGACGCGGTGGCCGTGGGCTCGCGTGCTGCGATGTTGTCGGTCAGCATCTCGGTGTCGTCGCCACCACCAACCACAAGGGGCACAACAACACCCATCCCCCCTTCTCGGTACGCGCACACAACACAACAGAGACCCCCCGTGCAGCCAGAACAGACTGCAGGGGCAAGTGCTGTTAGCGAGAAGCAGCAGCAGCTATCAAGGCCGGCACTGTGGCACACGAGGGGGTGGGTCGACAGCACCACGCTCGGCCGCCTTTGTCTCCCCAATGGCGGTGTTTACACAATGCACCGGGTACTTATTTTAGGCCGAGTCAACCAAGGGGAGGTCCATGGTCGGTTCAGATAATCGTCACCGGTGTTGGCCGTGAGCAGGAATCGAACTCGGGTGGCCGGGTTCGTAGCGCAGCGTGGCGCTAACCGCTACACCACCGCTCCCCACGCAACACACACAGACACACAGTCACACACAGACACACAGATACAGATACAAAGACACACACGCTGACACCAGCCAACGGGCACCACAATACATACACAAGACCTCATCCCATTTATATAACACGTTCGTCAATAACACCGCCCCAACAAGGACACATATCTATTAATTCATAGCATGTAAACGACCCTCTGATAATAATCTCATCAGCGAAAGGGACTGTTCGTCATGATACAGAGGCAATGCTTCAGCCCCCGACACTCAGGTGGTAGAGGGGGTAAGTTTTAAGATGAAACAAATTAGAGATTATTTGGCAAAAATAATATCTTGTCCTGCCATCTGTCAATCCACTGCCAGTTGAGGGCCTTCCAATGCCATGCCTAATTTATGTCACTTAACGAAATATAAATTTGGTTTGTTTTAGGCAGGAAGAAAATGTTGTACTCTGCTGCCCAAAATACATTTCCAAGTGATTTGGCTCTAGCCATGAACTTAGAACTAAACTGTTTTTATTGTACCAGGTAAGGCCGACTGAACTCTGTAGCTCTTTTTCAGAAGCAACCTGGCCACAAATGATCGCTCAACGCAGTGGCTTTTCACGTGGACATTTACAGCGGCCAAATACTCTAAACGCCTATTGCTAAATGTGCAAAGGCGTCAGAGTCGGGATCGAACCCACGACCTCCTCCATACCAGGCGAGGTTGTTAACATCTCCTGGCCGCCGTGGCGACGAACTTAATGCCAAAGCTAAAGTTAGAAAGGTCCCATTGACGGTCCATAATCTCCACCACTCGTGCGCCCACGATGGAGATTTCCACAACGGACCTTTACGACAGTAAAAGCTCTTTGTCTTTCATCCTGTTGCACAACCCCGTGTGTTGTGTCTGCCGGTTGTATCCGATGTTGACATTGTCGCGCCACGTGCTGAAGCTCTAAGCACATGCAGCAAAACGTCGGATATTATCCCGGACAGCGCTCGGCACCACCCAAGAAACGTACGGCACAACCGTGAAAACCTACAGATTTGGGAAGGCTATACAGTACGCACGCTCTTTTGAAAACATAAAGAGTGGCCACGCAACATTGAATATATTGTAAGTTTTAGTTTTTATTCCACAACGTTTTTCTACTCACACACTAAAAATTGCACGGACAAAACTCTGCGGCTATGTATCATAAAGTTTGTAAACAGGCAGAGCGGGCAATGTTAGACCCCTTCACTAAGCACGTGAAAAGAAGCGGAAAATGAATAAATACGAAAGCCAGAGAGCATCGGAGCGTACGAATACGACAGCACAAACTTGCAACCAGTCCAGTCCAACGCGACCCATAACACGCGGCATGCAAACACTCATCTCTACTGAATGCAATCACTAGCTCTTAAAATTCTGGTCATTTATGTTTGTACGTAAACTATTTTACATCTGAGATCATGTCACATTTTGAATGCGATGTGCGTGCAAACAAATTAACTTGTCGACAAAACAAAAAAAAACATTGAAAGGTATTTTGTTAGTCGAGATGTAACATACCTTGGGTATACAGTACATGGCAAGGGAAAGGCACTTTAGCAATATTCACGATTTTTGGAGGTGTGCTCTCCGATGGGCTCAATGTCAATTGCATCTTACACTAAGCATTTGGGGATGCCTCAATTGTATGGCTTTACAGGCTTGTGTAAAGTTCAAATCAACCCATCCAGCAGTCGCCAATAGTTCCACAAGTGCACAATCTTTTGGAAAAGCTCTCAATTAGACGGTTTCAGTGTTACTGTGTTTTAAAAAAAAATGTTTGCAGTCTCACGGTCGTATATTCTACAAGCTGAACCAAAATAGGCCTCTTGCGTTGCTGTCGCGAGACCACATGAGGCCTATTTTTCATGATAAATCCTTGTTGGGAAAGTGATGCCCAAAAGTTTGGCTCACATTTATAAAAGAAAACCTACCCCCACACCGCTGTGTGTATACTCCTGAAAGCATGCAATGGATTAACATGAAGCAGGAGAAACAAGATAGATCGGTGTTTTTAGCAAATTATCTTCGAATTCATATACAAGACGCATAGATCTTGTGAATGGCCAATGTAAATATTACCTATATAGTTTTGTTATGAGTGTCCACGTTTGTATGCTTCGTGCAAAGCAAAACATTGTCCCGTCCCCCCAAAACAATTCTACCGGAAATAATCCAAATGGTTGAGGCCTGGGGTTTTGTTGGTGTGAAGATTCACATCGTTTTCCACCATTGTCACCCCATGTACGATTCGCCGAATCAAGCTGGCCACCGTGGCTATAGCGTTGCTCTGAAAATTACAGTTGGTACCGTTATCCTACATGGAACTGATAAACGATTCCAACCACAGAACTGCAGAGGATCAATCAAACCTTGTTGAAATTAAAATAGCCAAATGAAATCTGCCTCATCATATGTATTCTGTAAAAACATTGTATTCTGGGTTAAGGGCAGTAATAATGGATCACACTATGGGTCTCTTACTAATTAAGTACATTTAAATTGATCCCAGCCATAGAAATGTGGAATCTCTACTGCCGGTTTAGCACTGGCAAGATATGGGCACCGCCCAAAGCTCATATGGAGATTCACGAACTCGTTTAACATTCCGTTTGAGCTCATTGATGAGCATCAACACTGGTCCGGGTCATCGAAGGAGCAGATGAGTGGACGTAGCCGAATGTAGTTGCGTGCTTGAATTCTACTGACCATCGCCATCTATTTTATCATTTTTACCTCTTACTGTTTATGTTTCGGCGATGACCGTCACCAGGCCGAAGAAGGGAGTCGAGGGCTATACCGTTCTCGGGAGACTGTTTGCCATGCTCGCAAGCGACGCGCCCGACGTACTGCGGGCCCGGGAATAATTACGCCAAATCACTTAAGAATAGAGCAGAAATTTTGCACGATAAAAGCAATGCGTCAGCGTCGGAGAAACGAAAGCCACCCACAAGGCTGCATCATGGAACAGCACTGTAATTATACAACGCAATCTTTAGTCAGAAGCTCAAGGTACAGTAGAGTTAAATAAGCTTGAAATAATAATCTTTGTGCTAAACTTAACACCAAAGCTGTGTCTTGTGCGCTCAATGCTAATATAGCAAAATATCCAAAAGCACAATTAACAAAAAAATGTCCCAAGTGACGGGCTACAAAATTGGTTACATTAGACATAATGCATATACAGCATTGGCCTCGATGGATTTAAAAAACACCACACATCAATTACGAAAGAACAATTTACACAACACTCCTACGATGGCTACGCAGGCAGTCAAAACTATGCGTTAAGTGGCATTGTTGTCCGTAAAAGCTAAATTATAATCGTGTCTTTACGCTGGGAAATAGATACGAAGCATCAGATCGATATCAATCCACGGTCCCTGAATCTGCACACTCGACACTCCCTTTCATCACGTCATCTACGATTCTTTACACACTTTATCTACAAACCCATGCTCCTTTACGACTTACGCTGCTGCACTCGGCAAAAGTAGAATTAGAAATCTGACAATACGTTCCTGCTTGGTGTCCCGTGTGCTTATATTTGACTTCAGCAATCCGTACATCCATCCACGTGCCCCCATGTTGCCCCCGAAGAGCCTGCCAAATTTGTTTTGCTGTTTATTTAAATGGCTGGTGACACAACAAATCAAGATTTGTTACGATCTAAACGGGATGAGCATTACTGAACGGCTTAAATTGTTTCGAAAATTATACGAACAGGACAGGTAATTGGCGAAAGCAGCTTTGACACAGCTGCAAGTGGAGTGGGATTTTACTGGCTTGGTGTCGCAGGTGCCATGCAGTGGCAGGGAGTACGTGGCTAAAACACCACAATTCCCATGACTGCATTCATACGACGTCACCCCTTCTTGCCAACAGCTGCACACAAAACGAGAATACTATTGACCGGTTTAAAATAGTTGGCAATGTAACTCAAAACCAGAAGAAATAATGGTACAGATTTTAAACAAATCAGCTGCAGTTTGTGAAAGTGAAAGAGCTAAGGACACAAAGGGCTTGCTGGGGGCCCTTCCGCTGCACTCCTCCTGCTCATCCTTCTCCTCCTTCTCCTCCTCCTCCTCCTCTCATCCTTCCTGCCCCCATCTCCTCTCCCCCTCTCCCGGGCGATCATTTGAGGTTGAACACCATGAGCGGCCGCTCCTCGCGCTTCTGCCAGGGACTCTTCTTGTCGCCTCCCTGGTCGTCCTCGCTGCCGTCGTCGGGCGAGCGCGGCGGCTGCTGCTCGCGCGGTGCGCGCTTCATCTTCCCGCTGAAGTCGGTGGGCCGGCGCAGCTTGCTGAACTCGCCGGCCTGGTGCTTGACGCCCGGGTGCGCCTGCTGCGGCTCGGCCTTGGCGGGACGCGGCTCGCTCGCGTACTCGGCGCCCAGCGGCTGCTCCTTGCCGTAGGAGGAGGAGTTCTTCCTGCGCTCGCCGCCGTACTCGCCCTCCGTCGTCTGCACCATGTAGTCGCCGTGGCCCTTGCCTCCGCCGTGGTGGTACTCGGGCGGGCTCTGCAGGTGCGACAGGTACTCGGTGGGCATTTGCGCGTCGGTGTCGTCGTCGTCGTCGTCCTCGTCGTCGTCGTCCGGGCTCAGCGCCAGCGTGTCCTCGCGACGGGAGTCTCCGCTCAACAGGGGCTTCAGCGAACTGTCCTCGGGCGTGCACACGGCCGTCTCGCTCTCGCTACGGTCACCGGCGAACAGCAGACGCGTGTATACGGTGCCTCCGGCGACGCCGCCGCCGCCACCGCCGAGTCCGGTGGCCCCGCCACCGCCGCCACCGCCGCCACCTCCGCCGATACCGCACGACTGGTGGCGCTGCCTCCCCTCCTCGGAGATTTTGCGGCCGGGCTTGGAGCTCTCTCCAACGTCGACTCCCGAGTCTAGGCTTGCGTCCTGGCTGCCGGAGCGCTCAGAGCGCTGCAGGTCGATGTAGGAGTGGCGCACGGTGGAGTTTGAGCGGCCGTCGAGCGAGATGAACCAGGCGCGTGGGTGCTTCATGGGCTTCAGGTCGCCCAGGTCCAGCAGGTGCTTCTCTGTCAGACCCTGGATCTCCATGTTGAGCTTCGACATGGCCGCCTCGCTGAGGGTCACGGGGATGGAGATCGACTCGGCCATGTGCGGAGACTCCTCGCGATCGGACTCTGTACGGGGAGACTCCTGCTGCTGCTGCTGTTGCTGCTGCAGAGGGTGATGTGGATGCGGGTACATCTGCTGCTGCTGCTGTTGCGACTGCTGCTGCTGCTGCATCTGATGCTGATGGTGCTGGTGGTGCTGTTGGTACTGCTGGTGCTGCGAATGCGACTGATGCTGCTGCTTGGAACCCTCCGACTCGGACGGGTTCAGCATGTACTGCTGCTGCAGCTGCACGTAGTGCGCGGGGATGACCAGTGTGTGCTGCATCATCTTGTGGTAGCGCGGGTCGTTCATCTGGTCCACCGAGCTGTAGCACAGCAGCTGCCCCGTCACCTGCCCCGGCAGGTTCACCGGGCGGGCCAAAGCATCCACGGACCGCGACATCAGGTTGTCGGCCGACTTCTTGTCAGCGGCGATGGCCTCTTGCAGCTCGGCCCGCTGCAGGCTGGGGCCACGCTGGTGGTGTTGGTGGTGATGGTGGTCCTGCGGCACTTTGCCGGCCGCCGAGTGCTCGTCGACGGAGGGCTGGTCCGAGCTGGTGCTGCGCCGGTACTGCTCCTCGCGGTGCAGGTGCCTGAAAGGCGCCTCCCCCAATTTCTCCGGCGTCTTCTGCAGCAGCAGCTCGGAGTGCGCCGGCGTGAGCTGCAGCGTGTCGGTGGAGCGGTGGAACTTCTCGCGCGAGCCGGGCAGCGTGTCGGTGGAGTCGCGGCACGCGGTGCTGCGCGTGCGCGACGACAGCTCCCGCGTCACCTTGTGCCGCGGGAGCTCGTCCCCCACCCCGCCCCCGCCCCGTGAGCTGGCAAAGTCGCGCGGCTGTGCCGCGAAGCCCGGCTTAAGCATGGGCGTGTGCACGTCGGTCTCGCCGGCAGAGGACATGGTCTCCATGTGCACCGCGCTGATGAGGTTGATGTGCGACATGGACGTCGACTGGTCCTTCTTGCTGTTCTCCAGCGCGGTGCTGGCGGCCAGCTTGCGCCTCTGCTGCTGCTGCCGCCTCTTCCGGCATCGCCTCCTGTGGCACAGAGAAGCAACGTGCAGCAGCAGCAGCAGCAGCAGCAGCAGGGTGTTTGGTCGCAGCGATAACAGGGCCCAATTACTGTACTTCACCCATCCGCTGGGCCCAATTTGTCGTAGGCAAGGCCACCGAAAGGCATTCGGAGGCCCGGGGTAAAATGCCAGATGGGGCCTCCTCTTAGCAGGGTTGCCACCTGCCCTGGTTTCCCAAGATCATCTTCTTTTCTCAAATTCCCTCTCGTTTCATCCTTTGTGTTCCTGTGTCCTGAGATGTATGTTACGTTATGGGCACGTTACTCATGTAAGTTGTTGTTTTTGAGGCAGTAGCTGTCCCAGTTTTTGTCAGTTGTGCAAAGATACACCACCAAAAACATACGCAAGGTATTATTCTTGCCATGATGTGTCCTAGTTTGTTTTGTACCTCAGAGGTGGCAACCCTCCTTCCGAGGCCCCTTCACATCTGACCCCGTTCACTTTACACAGCCACGGTTATAGAGCCATAGAACCCATCTGGCTCTATATATTACAAAAGTGCAACTCTATAAACAATAACCTCCCCCCATCCATATGTCACCGGATCCTTGTCTCAGGCCTTGGCGCAGCAGGCACGGGCTCTGACCTGCAGTAGCAAATCAGCACGAGAAAGAGGCCAAGGAGGATGAGGGCCATCCCTCCCAGAATGGCCAGCAGCAGCATGGTGTGGTAGTTGGAGATGTGTAGCATGATTCCTGGCAGAAACCCAACTGCAGAGCACACACACGACACATTGTGTTTAATACAGAGAGGAGTGCACACACACACAGCCCGTGTCAACCGAGGGGAGGGTCCGGGACCAGTTAAAATATTCCCCACTCCCATTGGCCGTGAGCAGGATTCAAACGCGAGTCGCCGGGATTCGTAGCGTGGTGCGCTGACCAATGCACCACCACCCCCTCGTAGCACGCGCACGCTCCTGCGGTTCGTCAACAGCGGTCGCCAGATTCTGAGGCAAGGACTGTGGAATGCTGTGCTCACCACTTCAACATTTCCTGGTGCCGATAGAAAGCCTGTCCTTAATTAGGATTGATTAAACGTTCAGTTGGCCTCGATTTCAGATCATTACAATTCAGACCTTGGGGGGGACACACTGGGGCTTTTTCGGAAACACTGTGTGGTTATTTAAAGTTGACAAGGTGCATGTTGTCACAAACACCCACAATTAATAATTTAAATTGTCCAGATGTGTGTAACACCTACAACTGCCATCTACCGTATTCTCTTGATTATAAGGCACACACACTGTTCCCCTATTAGAGAGAAAAAGTCGAGGGTGAGTCTTATAATCTGGTAGCTGTGTGTGTGCGGGGGAGGGGGGGCACAGTGGTTAGCGCACTGCGTTACAAACCCAGTGACCCGATTTAATTTCCTGTTCACTACCAATAACAGCGACAGTGCATATATGAACCGATTCTGGGCCTCCCCTCTAGGTCAACTCAGCCTTTAATGAATGTCTTGTGCCGTGTGTATCGACATCGGCACTGGGGAGACAAATGTGGCCGGGCGTGGTGTTGGCCACCCACCCCCTCGTGCGCCGTTCCAGGCTTCACAGTCGCCCGCGAACAGCACTTGCCCCAACAGTCCGTTAAAGGCTATCGGGAGCATCTTTGTCTTTGTGCGAAACTTTACTTGTACAACTCGACAACCGTCATCAGTGTGCTGTGGCGCACGTTTTCAGAAGACGGTAATTCCCCCCCCCCCCCCCCCCCCCCCCCCAAGTTGGTAAGATTTTACTTCACAAACGCAGGAGCGTCGAGACGTCGCGTTCCACGTGGGGTTAAGGGGTTTCGCTTAGCGGGGAGGCGCACGCCGCGTTGACAGCGCCCATCTCCGCTGCTGCGTCAGAATTTTAAAGTCGACGGCTGTCAATGAGCAGCTAAAGCAGCGGGCTCGCGAGTAAAATCACTTTGAGATTAAAAAGCATTTGTTAATGGACCAAACTCGGGCTGTCCAGGAGATGAAGGGCATTGCCGCCGCGAGAGCTTGGGATCCAGCACTCGCGTACTATTCAGCAGTGACTGCGCCTCGAGTGGGATCGCCACTCTTTCGTTAAGCGGGCCGTGGTGGCGTGATCCTGAGCGCGCTGCACTTGCAATCCCAGGGGTCAGCGTTTCTCTTCTATCTCCCGGCGTGGCAGTTGACACAATGGGGGCCAGTTTCTTAACCCCCCCCCCCCCCCGCCAAAACCACCTCTGACCACCCAGCAGCATAAATGGGTTCACCCCAGCGCGTGGTGGAGTAAAGTGTGGGTATTCCCACCTCTTCCGACACGTCTGGTCAACGTAGAAGAGTAGCCCTTACACATCAGCAGTGGTGTAGGCAAGAAATTGCAGGGCTGCACCTTTACCTTGCTATCTCTTATTCCCAGCAAACGTTGTTGGCGTTCGTGTTTTTCCAGCGGCATGCAAATGTGTGGATAGTTTTCGCTGCACAAGTGAATTTCAACTTGACCGTCTGTATGGATGTGTGACTCAGTACAAACCGTGACGTTAATACTGGCAACCAGGAAGGCACTACTGTAACATCTGCCACAAGATCTTAATTTTATTACAGTGTCTGAGCCATGCTTCTTTCAGGATAAGTATTACCTCTTGCTACCACTGCAGACACTCTTGCTCCTTCAATAGTGCTGTTTGTTGCTGTCTGCAAGGCGATTTGGGCGTTTTGGTCCTGTGGTCAATCACGTGTTCAAATTGGGGCCTTCCTAACAATCGACTGAGCAAAATATCCACGACCATGGAAAACGGTGGACCATTACTCGTAAATTTATGTAATTAGCATTCTTTAGGGGCTTTTGGCTATAAACATGGCCATACAATCCACAAAGCCAAGCAAAGGTCACACTGTGGCAAAGCAGTGTTATTCACCGTTGGCTAATGAGCATTATTATTCTGTAAATCATTACGAGTGTAAGAAACCAGCTTAAGTGGTGCCGTAAGCGCCTTTAGCGCCGCCGTTTGAAGTGCGGTTATGAGGGAGCGCGCGGCCGGGCATGCGGAGATGGAGTGGCACGGGCACGAGCGAGTGCGTGCGTGCGTGCGACGTGCGGGATGGGGGTCGTACCCGGAGGTTGGGGTGGGAAGGCCGCTGCCCAGTAGCCGAGGCGCGTTGCGGAGTAGCACCACGCGAGGTCGCCGCCTCCCTGGCGCGTCACGAGACCCAGCCCGGCCTCTCGCCAGGCCCCTGCGCGCCCGACGCAAGCGACACGGACGGGGCACTGCACTCAGCAGACGATCACAAGGGCAGCCGCCCCGCAGGGTTCGCGCGGCGATGGGGGTCCGGCTCGGGGAATCGCAGACCGGCTTGTCAATGCCTTCATCCAGCGGTGGATAGACCATAGCTCATGACGATGATGTTGTTGTGCAGTCTGGTACAGCGGACGTGTGGAAGCAGGCAAAAGTGTGCGGTGTATTAAGTAGGCACTTTTTATTTATTCAAATATTTCACCAGAATAATGCCTTGAAACGGAACATCTCGTTTGCAAGAGAGTCCAGGGTGCCTAGTGACAAATGACTTGTGACCTTGAGGCAAAACACTCACGTTCTAAAAACCAAGTACATGACTGGATATAGATGGACACAATGCGAGGGTTAAACGGGCAAAATATTTGAACGCGAACAAAATTGAAGATTACACTGAGGACAAAAAAAGAACGATGGATTAGAGAACACGGACAAGTTGAGCGATATATTTAATATCGAGAGAGCTTCGTCAGGACACGTCACAAGAAGGGCTGGTGGCCGGTAGTCGACACCAAAGACTTGCGATCGAGCGGCAGCCAAACGAAGACTCCCGGGGGTACGTCCACTGCGGAGGAGCAGCAATTAAATTGGCCCGTATAACGGAGCTAGACGGATCGTTACATCACAAGGCCCGCTCGAGATGGCGACCGCTTGTGGAGGCCTTCATCAAGGAGTGGATAGACCACGGCTGATGGTAATGGTGATGATGTATGTATGTTGAACGTGCTAATAGGAGGCGAGTGGAGGGTTAACCTGGGGGCCGTTACTCCACTCGCCGGAGACTCCTGGCACTGTGCGGGTTGGCTCTTCCGACGACCCCAAATAGCATGACCACCTGCCCGGCCTGGAGCCGACGAGGGCCTACGGAGGTCGCGGCTGTGGCGGAGCCTGAACCCCCCCCCCCCCCCCCCCCCCCCCGGGGTAATGACCGCCAGCCGCCCGGCTGTCCGCGAGCATCAAAGCAACGATCAGTGGCAACGCTAATTACGAGCAATCAATCGCTCCGAGTGTCCATTGCAATCGGGAAAGGTCATTCGGTTGGAGGCTGCAGGAGGAACGGGAGCGATTGTGTGAATGCAGCAGCACGGAGTGAAATGGCGAAGACAAGTCAAGCGGTTCAGCAGCGTCAGAGTTAGCCGTCTGTCGATGAGAACACAGCGGCTTTAAAAGGAAAACAATATTACATAATAGCTGATGTTCATAGCACACGGATAGAGGGCCATTGCCTTCACACCGTTGCCAAAGCAGCATTGCTATGCGCAATGAGGATCTTCAACAACAGAAAAAGGCACGACAATGTTTGAGCAGACTCAAAGCGGTGCGCGATCGCGACCACCGGCCTCTGTCCTCCCATCGTCCCTTTCCATGGCGGCTACACTGTGCCGATGACTCCTAACAAGCACGAAACCAGTACACGGTTGTCTTTTCGGTCCACTGCCGCCTAAAATAATAAGGCCACAACTTTGCCTCTTGGCATCCGAAGCTAGCGGCGGCGCGTGTTGTTCACGCAGCGCGGTGATGTCGGGTGGCTTTGTGCATTACCGCTCGTTTGTTTCTGGCCTGCGTGCAATTTCCCCTCCGAGTTCTCAACGTTGCGTAGGAGGTGAGGTTAGGGGTGCGGTGGTTCACGCTATTTTCCAGACATAATTCAAGACGCACACATCTGCAGACACGTGATTTCACGAGTGCCGAGAAACGATTCCTTCGATTGAACGCTGCCAACACAACTCCACGTGACAAGCAGCCTCCACTAAACCAGCGATGGAAATCCATTAAAGTTCTCAAAAACAGAGGGCCTATATTTACCTCCATTCATCCCCCAACCCCCCCTCCCCCCCGTTTGGCAAGCTCGCTTAGAATTGGGAAAACAATGCCATCACTGTTGACGAAACGCCGCTCGGCTTGTACGAGTAATCGCGCCTGCGCATGCCAGAGCCACCGTCGCTTGGCTTTGTTGACAAGGAGGCGGCCGTGTGAGTCCAGGATTCGCCTTCTCCTCCGCCTTGCCGTCAGCTCCCACATCGGCGCGTGTCGACGAGCCCCGCATCGCCTCTCGGACACGGAGAAAACTCAAGAGTTCCACCACGCCACGATATTTGATCTCCATAGAAAAAAGTTGTGCTGCTGCCAAAGCCATCAAGGACAGCTGCAAGCAAGCACGAGAAGACACACGCACGCACTTGCAACACGGGAGCAGGGGAAAAAAGTCTCACATCCTGTGTTCTGTACACTGGAAATGGAACCATTCCCGCCTCTGGCAACCCGAGGCAGTGTAGCAGGATTTGACGCAACATTAAATATGTTTTGTTAACATTGCAAGTCAATGGCGGTTGCCTCCTAGGTGGCTGCAGGGGTGAGGTAAACACCCATTAACAAGAACGCATACGAATCTAAAAAAAAACCCCGACGGCGTGAACTGTGAGCGTAAGATTTGATGAATCGACGTATCGCGTTACGCCCCGAGTGAGCGGGAATTCCCGCCATTCCTGCCGTCGGAGAAATGACGAGCGTTTGTGAAAATAGCAGCAAGCCATCGTCGGCCGGCTTAGAAGAATACAATTCCGTGATTCCAGCTGCCGTGCCCCAAGATGCGAGGCGGCCCAAGTCGCCTGTGGCCGTCACTCGTGACCGGCTTCTCTTTGGCCTTGAATCCAAGCTTCACGTTCATTTTTGTGCAACCGGACATAAATCGGAGCGTAAACAAGCAAGTGGAAATCGGACGACAGCAACAACCAACAAGAGGGCTTACTGAAGCATTCGAGAATACTAGATTACAAAAATCAATATTTAATAAATAACCGCTTCCTCCCAACTAAAGCTGGCGCTGCAAATTACTTTAAAAAAACGTTCATTGTAAAATTAAGATCAACGCCAACATGGATTCAGAACGATGGTTGCCTAGTGTAGTAAGTAAACAAACAGGGACATAAGGTTTTCAGCAAAGACAAAGACGCCCCTTCTAGCCAGGACCAGTCTCTGTTGGGGCAAGTGCTGTTAGCGAGCGCCTATTGGGGCGTGCGCGGCGTCGAGGAGGTGGTGTGTGGCTTGGACCACTCCTGCCTCAACAACAACAAAGGCAAAGATCCCCACTATAGCCTTGACGGGCTGTTGGGGCAAGAGCCGTTCGCAAACAATACGACCGCGCACACACACACACTACCAGACAGTACGCAGATACATTACATTTCGGATACAACACAGACTTTCATTCCATAGCCCATTTAATTGCATACCCTGCCACTGTACTTGTTTGGTTCGGTCCAAATAAAGTTTCATGAAGTGGAACCATTTAGCCGTTAAAAAAAAAAAGTTTCCCCATTCTCGCTCGATAAATGTCAGCTTTAAAGGCACGAGCTTGAACTTACAATTAGGAGGCTTGCGTCACAAATTAAACGGAGCGCAGGCTTCATTAGTAACGGGCAGGCGTTGGTCTGACTGGCTCGCGGACCGCTGCCGGACCACTGCGGCCCTGGGAGCCGCTCCGAGTCGGGGCCCCGCACAGTTTGGCTGCTCCGAGCTGGGCCACTCAACTGGGACGGCACAGCGAGATGGGGGGGCGGCCCTCGGTGAAGTGGCAGGGACGCACACGGCGCCAAAGGGAAAGTGAATCGCGCAGGACACGATTCGGCGAGTGCGGAAAGGCTGTCAGTAAATGAACCCTATCGCCCGCCCTTACTATTTATCACTCGTCCCAAATCCATCTGCAACATATTTCGCGGCTGACGACTCCCATCTGCATTTAGGCATGGATAATTATCACCTAACAGTGGTGTTCTGGACTTTCTTAAATATTCCCTATTCACCACATCTCTTTCCAGATATTCGAGATTGCACGGCTGGTTCAATACGTCACGTGCAATTCATCTTTAGGATTAGGAGTTACTTTTGCAGACAGGTGCGGTGAGGAAGAGCCACACCGCGTGGCCGCTTCCCCCGTGGCGGCGGAGCCGTCTGAGGCTTGCCGCTTGTTTACTGAGAATCTCCACGCGGAAACGGCGGTCCCCGCAAAAAGGATCTATTACTTTGCAGACTCGCGCTGGGCCCGTTTTCGTGAAGATTAATGGGCACGTAAAAGCTCCTCATACACATCCTCGTCCTCCCACTCTGCCGGCAGGACGCTGCGGTAGTGACCGTCCAGCGAGGGTGATGAATGGCATTAGGTAATGCGGCTCCGCTCTTTTTACGATCTCGTGCCAGGGGGCCCAGCTCAGATCTTTCCAGTGACAAACGGAGAGATTTTTTTTGAACGGGCCTTCGTCCACAAGGAAATGAATCTCACCACTCGTGACACCGGCCTACCCAACACGCTAAAGAGAAAACTAAAGCCAACCTTTCTCCCCTATAAAAAATAAACTCCAGCAACTGACCTTTTTTTCTGTTGGCCTGAAAGCCACTCCCTGGTGTGTGGAAAGTTAAGGAAAGTAGTCATCTGCTGCTTTACAAATGCAGATTTAATGCTGTATCAATCATAATAAATAAAGGCCCCCGTGCCAAACATTTTAAGCCATAAGCGTGAGGTTGCTGCCAATTCGCGTCACTTTGAAATGATTCCATGATAATGACGCTAGTCCATGCCACAACCGTAAAAATTCAAAAAGCATCTTTCAAACATCTGGAATCTGCGAGTCAACGCTCGACACGCATCACCAGGGGGCCGCTACTTGGCCCGGGCAGCCGCAGAACTCCACGATGAAGCGCGGATTTCTCCCCACATCCCCTCCGGATGTGCGCCGATCGCCAAGGTTGCAACCCGGGGAGTGACTGCGCCCGCCGACCTCCGCTCATCGACCGTGTTCCCCAAGCGCGCGCTGGGGCGTGGTTGGCCTGGGCCCTGGTGCAGGGAATTAAAAAGGGGGCCCCCTCCCACCCTTCCCCCCCCCCGTCCAATTTTCCCACTCTCGTGTTCCTCCGGCTCGTAGGCTCGCTCTTGCGGAGTTCCAC